CTTTTGCCCCTCAATGTGAGGAAGGACCTTTGCTGCGTGTCGTGTCCTGGGTCAGAGGGAAAGTGCACAGATTGGAAACCTACTGAGGTCACATTTGAGTAACAAGGAGAGGTAGGAGGGAGAACTCTCAGGCATTTCTCTTTTCTAAAGTCCACATGTTGTCAAGATCGTAAGCATCAGAGGTCATCTGAAGCATTATGTCATCATCAAATGTTTGACAGACAAACCTCCAACAGGCCTGGTCTGGACATCTTGGGGAAGCTGTCTCATCAGAAGGCTTCTGCTTTAATTCTGGGAAATCTTTGCTTTTAAGTCACCAGATGATGTGCAAGTCCACTCAGGGCTTGGTGCTTTCTTTAGGTGTGTCACATGAATCCAAGAGTCTGGTCTCTGGAGTTCTGCAGCACAGGGGTTAGTTAGCAGTACCTGATGGGGCCTTTCCAGCAAGGCTGAGGAGAGTCCTCCCGGAGGTGTCTTTTCCAATAGGCGAAATCTCCAGGTTGCAAAGTGTGATGCTTAAGGTCTTTGTCTCCCTGGAGCACACTGAAAAGGTGGCTCTACCCAAACATGGTTATTTTTAATAGAAGCAATCAGGCCTTCGCAATAGTAGAGTATATCTCCTTTCTCAGCTGTGGGTCAGAAGAGGCAGGAGCCAACTGCATTGGGTGTGACTATCTCAAAGGTGGGAGTTTATGCATTCCCGAGGGGGTGGATCTGAGATACAGAAGGACCAACAGTAATGCTTTTGGCCACGGTATTTGGAAGGTCTTGACAAATTCTGACCTTAAATAAATAGTTATTTCTCCAGCAAAAATGGGTTTATTCAGGATCAGCAAAGAATTGCAATTTGGGGTCTGCAACCATAGCAAGCCACAGTGCAAGTCCCCCGGCAGCAAAAGGAGGGGAAACTCTTTTATAGAGGGGAAGAAGAATTGGGAAGGGCTATTGTGAACGGAGTTCAAGGTGTATTTCATTGGCTGAGTTGCGACAGTCTCTCATTGGCGGAGCTTCTTGCCAGCCAAGAAGAGGTCCTTCTGCTTCCTGTTGGGTTCTGCCATTGACATTGTATGTAGGAGCTCCCCCTTTTGACCTCCTGACTCCAATCTAATGAGGTTTCCGTTCATTAATTTTCATAGTTGGTAGCCACTGACACTGTCCCCACACCTGTGACCTGCATGCTTCCAGTATGAAATGAGGACTATTTTACAAAACAGAACAAAATGCAAGAGATTTTGGAGTCCACTGAACAGCTGTTAGAGGGGTTTGGGCCACATGACACTATTTAAGTTGGTTGTCCCGGGCCTGGCCCTGGGCCCAGTGGTTAAGTTTGCATCCTCCCAGGGTTTCACCAGTTCAGATCCTGGGCGCGGACCTAGCCTGGCTCATCAGACCATGCTGAGGCGGCATCCGACATAGCACAACCAGAGGCACTCACAACAAGAATATACAACTATGTACCAGGGGAATTTGGGGAGAAGAAGAAGAAGAAAGAAGATTGGCAACAGATGTTAGCTCAGGTGCCAATCTTTAAAAAAAAAGATGGTTGCCCAGAGCCTGAAGGTAGCATACAAGGGTGAAATTCAAATTCATACTTTTTTTTTCGAGTCCATTATAGTCATTGATTTTATTAATATAATCAGGCAGGAAGACAGAAAGTCAGAGACGGAGTTCCTGAAGGCTTGTGGAGTTGGAATTGTAGGCTTCCTACGAAAGTGCTCTCTCAGATGGCTTCAACAGTGTCTCCATGATAACTAATTGGTGTGTGTCACTCTAGTATCCCCCAGACCTTTATTCTGGATTACCTGTGAGCTACTTAGTAACTTCTCTATCCTCTTCTATGTTCTCACCTGTATTACAGGGGTTGGAAACCTGAGAATTACATTTCCAGGTTAAAATACACCAGTGAGAGGCATGCGTGGAAGTTGCAGAAGATGGTTTAGAAATCATATTACTCATTGAGAAATCATATTATTTCTTTCCCCTCTACAGAGGCAGACAGAAGCATGGCTTCAGTAGATGCCGTTACCCCAAAGCACCCACTAGGATGGTGCTCCCTAAACCCACCCACCACTCAGTGTTCCAGGCAGTGGTGGCCACCAGTAGAGGTTTCCTGTGGCTCCTCCAAACTCCCCATCCTGGAGAGCTGGCAGGACCCCAGGGATTTGGTGGCATCCGCTGACCTCCATCCTCTCTCTTCTCACAAATTATCCCGGGTGTAAGTCCTGCTGGAAATGCCTGCCCTGGTTTCTGCCTTTCTAACTAAACCATGGCCAATGTGACTTCTGAGGTTAGGAGACTTTTTACACACTAGCTAGAATATTTTTATCTGGTTAACAGCAGAAAAATATATTTCATCCTTATGTCCTACAGGTGATGACCATCCTGACTTTCATGTTAATCATTCGCTTCTTTTCTTTATAGTTCTACCCACCTCATGTAATCTATCCCCAGGCAATACACCGCCTAGTCTTGAAAACGGAGGGCAAGCACCCACCAGCCTTGCAAGGAGAGGGCAGCACTGCCCCCGCTGGACGGAGGCTCCAGGTGGAGGTGAGCGGAACAGTCTCCTGGTCATGGTCTGCCTTCTGCTTCTCTGGGAGTTGACAAGGCCCCTTCTGGGGAGGTTGTGAGCAAGGTCACGAGCGAGTCTTGGGAAACACAGGGTTCTCCGCAGTCGGGCGCCCGGCAAGACGGAGGTGCACACCAGGCACTGGACACGCAGCAGCAGTGCAGTCAGAGGGAGCGGGCTGCTCTGCACTTTCCGCTTCTGAGCCCACCATGGCCTCCCTGCAGCCCTCAGGGAAAAGCTGAGAACTTCTGCGAGTGAGGTGTGTGCCCTCAGCAGAGCACGAGGGAGAGACCCTCCTCAGCCATGGCCAAGACAAGCCAAGGGCTGATGAGACTCTGGGCCAAGCTCTCCTGGGCCTTCTGTCCTCGGGGTAAGAAGACGGCCGATGGAAGTGGGGTCTTAGTGATGACAGTCCATCTCTTGGGTCCCACTGCTGCAGTGTGGCTCAGCTGCCCCCCAGGTCTGGTGCAGAGCTGCCATCTGGGGATCGCTTTTCAGCATCATTTCACCAAGGGATTCCTTTGTCATTTCTGTTGTTAGGTCCCCTGCTTCCTGTATCTCATGTCTTCTTTCTGAGTTTCCTTTCTTGTTATAGTGGAGCACATCCTTCTTGAGTAAAGGTGCTTGAGAGGTAAATTTTTTGAGACCTGGCATGTCTGGAAGTGACTTTATTATTCACACTTGATTAGGGTTTAACTAAATATAGAATTCTAGGTCAGAAAAAAAAAATGCTTCCTTTAGAATTCTAAAGGTAACACTCCATTATCTTGTTCCCAGTGTTGCAGTTGAGGGGTCCAAAGTCACTCTGATGTGCCTCTGTAGGTGACCTTTTTATCTTTTGTTCCCTGTGTCCTGAAATATCCCAGTCAGTGCCTTGGATCTGTAGTGTTGATTGCAGTCTGGTAACTCATGCCCTTCAGTTGTGGGAAATCTTATTACTTTTGTGTGGATTTCTCTCCATTTCTCTGGCCTGTTGTTCAGACCTTGAAGCTGCTGGACCAGTGTCTACTTTCTTATCTTTTTGACCGTGCATTGTGTTGTCTTTTTGCTCTACTAATTGGGAGATTTCTTCAATTTACTCTCCCACCCTGTTACTACTAAGATTTTTCATTTCTGCCAACACAATTTAACTTCCAAGGGCTCTCTTTTTTTGCTCTGAATGTATATATACATTTTTATAATGCGGATTTTTAAAAATAACTACAGTTCATTCCTATTTCCTTAGTTTTCACCTAAGGTGCTTTTCCTGCGGTCCTTTTCCTGATACCACATTACGTCTCCTTAGGCTCCTCTTGGCTGTGACAGTACTGGGAGGTATTTCATAGAATGTCCCACATTTGGGTTTGTCTGATGCTTTTCTTGTGGTTAGACTGGGTTTATGAGTTTGGGGGAAGAGGACCCCAGAAGTAAAGTGCCATTTTTCATCAGTTTGCATCCAGGATATATACTATCAACATGAATGATCACTGCTCACTTTGGTCACCTGTCAGAGGTAGCATTTGTCAGGTACTCTAATTTCCCCCCTTCCCATAATGAACTCTGCGGAAGGAAGTCACTATGGCATCTCACACTTAAGGAGCAGGGAATTATGCTTCACCTCCTTGAGAGGGGGGTACCTACATAATTTGGGATTTAGTACAGATTTGTCCGTTCTTCCCTATGTATTTATTAAATCATTTATTTCTATTACTGTGAACTCATGGACAGTTATATTGTACTTTGAGTTATAACTCAATACTATGTTATTTATTTTGTTGCTCAAGTTGTCCCAGCTATGGCCATTGGGAGCTTTCAGCTGGCTCTGGTGTCTCTTTGACATACCCCCTCATCGTGTGTATGTGTGTGTGTGCGTGTACTTTGTAAGCACTTCCTTATTTTCTGGCACTACAATACCTCCAGGATTATCTTGTCTATTTCCTGCCCCAGCCCTAGAGTCAGCCATTGCTTCAAGGACTCCTGGTTTCCTTTATTTGAGAATGGCCTGGGGCCAGCCCAGTGGCGCAGTGGTTAAGTGCACACGTTCTGCTTCGGCAGCCCAGGGTTCGCCAGTTCGGATCCTGGGTGCGAACATGGCACCGCTTGGCAAGCCATGCTGTGGCAGGCGTCCCACATAGAAAGTAGAAGAAGATGGGCATGGATGTTAGCTCAGGGCCAGGCTTCCTCAGCAAAAAGAGGAGGATTGGCCGTGGATGTTAGCTCAGGGCTAATCTTCCTCAAAGAAAAAAAAGGAAAAAAGGAGAATGAACTTAGGAAACAAGCCCTGGACTCTGGGTGTGCTTTTGCTGCTGGGATGTCATTGCTTCTAGGCCATTTCAGCTAAGAAAGCAAGGACATAATTTGTGTGAATATTTTTTAATGGCTAGTTCTTGTTTCAAGGATGAAATATTTTTTCATTCTCTCTGAGCCTGCAATGATAAATATTTTTTTTTTCTTTTGAAATTTCCTTCTCCTCATAGTCTGTTTCTTTCAAGATGCAATTTTCTGTTTGATTGTCTTAGTTTCTTCGCCATGTCTGTCTGGTCAGAGCCAAGGTGATGGGAAAGATCTGAGCACATGGTGGGGCTTGATGCTGAGAGTCACTGCTAGCTGATCTGGGGGACTCTGCGGGGGGCGAGGGTCAGGCCTTTCCTTTAGGCTTTAGGGCTGGTCAGACTTCCAAAGAAGAGCTTTCCAGTCCCTTGCCTGAGCACAAGGGTCTAGCTGCTGGTGCTCTGGGAGATGCCTGGATGAAGAGGGCTGAGAGCCACTGCATCAGCATTCCATTATACTGCCACCAAACGCCCTATTCTCATACAGCACCCATGCCCTCAGCTGTGCCCCCAGCCCTCTCTTACCATCGCCAGAGAAGAGGGAGGGGGTGGTTTGGGGAGAGGGCAGAGGAGGCCAGCATGAGGATGCTCACCACTCTGCATGCACAGTTGATACCCCACACTTGGTACTTCTCTTCTTGAGTCCTCACAGTATCCCCATCAGGCTGAGATCACCACCCACGCGCCCTCCCCACGGAACTGAGGCTCAGAGGAGCCAATACCTCACCCAGAGGGGCACAACTAAGCAGGCAGCCCGATGAGATCCAGGCCCGTCAAGAGTGGCTGACATTGGAGTCACGGAAACCTGTCGGCCCTGTGGCCCCTGGCCCAGCCCCGGTGCCCCCCTGACACCCCTAGCCTGGGGAGTTGGAGCCTGAGCTCTTCATCCCTCCTGTGCTGTCTTCTCCTTGGTGAAGAGGCCAGTGTGGGGTGGGAGAATCTCCCAGCTGTGGCATCAAGGAACGAGGCAGGGCAGGGGAGTGGCAATGAGGTCTCAGGAGGAGAGAACGGGCTGGCGGCTGTCATCAGAGAGGTACACAGCCAGGGCCACAGAGCTGAAGGTGACAAGAAAGGGAGAGAAGGATAGGTGGCTCGATACAGGTTCGAAAAGGCCTTCCTCTCCACAGGAGGGTGAGCAGGCCAAGGGGAGAGGTCCCTACTCTGAAAACCAGGCCAGCAACATGGCGTCCTCCCCGACTGCTCTCCCTCCCTCAGTCCCACATTCCACCTCTCGCTAAGACCTGAGAATTACCCCCCTTAGACAGCTTTTTTCTCCCCTTTACGTTGTTTTAGTGTAATTTACACACCCTAAAAGTCACCCTTTTTCAGGTGAACAGTTCTGAGTTTTGACACATATATAGTCATATGACCACCGCTGTAATTTTAAAATATAGAATTTACCCATCATCCCCAAAATTCCCTCATGGTCCCCCTGTAGTCATTCCCCTCCCCCTACTTGAGCTCTGGCAACCACTGATCTGATTTTGCTTTCTCCATAATGTCATATAAATGGAATCACAGAGGACATAGCCTTATGTTTGTCTTCTGTCCCTTAGCATGATGTTTTGGGTACTTATCCACGTTGCATACTTGTCAGCAGGTCACATTCCGCTGTACAGATGCACCAGTTTGTTTATGAACTCACTGGATTATAGACATACGGGTTTTTTCTAGCTTTTGGCTGTTGCAAATAAAGCCGCTATGAACACTTGTGTACCACATTCTGTGTGGACAAGCTTTTATTTCTTTTGGATACATACCCAGGAATGGGACTGCTGGGTGGTGTGACAGTTGTATGTTTAATGTTCTCAGAAACTGTCAAACTGTTTTCCAAAGTGGGTATACCACTTGGCTTTCCCACCAGCAGTGTAGGAGAGTTCCACTTGTTCCACATCATCACTAACAGGTGATACTGTCTGTCGCTTTCATTACAGCCATGCTAGTAGCTTACAGATAGTAATTACAGTTAGTGGTTACACATAGTCATAGTAGTTCATTGTGATTTTAACTTGCATTTCCTTAAAGTCTTGAAACAGTTTTAAAATCAGTTCCTTCCTTTTGACACCTGCTGCCATGGCCATGGCCCCAAGGCCAGGCCAGGCCTCATCTTCTCTCACAAGGCCCTTTGCAATAGCTCCCTAAACTAGTCTGATGGCCTTAAGCCCCACATCCCTGAAACTTCACGTGCCCTAGCAATCTTTCCACAACAAACACCTAGTCACACTGCTCACTTCCTTTCTCAATAGCCATCAACAGTTGCCCCTCACCTCCACAAGCAGGCCCCCACCCTGCCATGCCCCAGGGGCCAGCAGGTGAGGGACGAGTGAAGTCACAGCCAGGCATGGGTAATGGGGGGGGAGGGAACTGTGGTGAACTAGGAGCCTCACCTAAAAGGGCAGCTGCCACTCAGTTCCTGCTGACCACTGCCCTCTGGCAAGGCAGGCCCCATGTTGCCAGAGCTTCTAACTATTCAAGCAAAAACAACAATTGAGATTTCTCAAGTGAATGCTCCCAATTTTTAAATGCTGGCAACTAAGTCACTTAAAAAAAACCCAACTCCTCTCTGGGTGACACAAGGCCTACCAGTGAGCTGAAGCCAGCCCATGGGCCTCATCAGAGGTGCCAGTCCACCTCAAGGCCCTCATAACTCTCCAGTCTCTCCTCCCCCATCACGAGCAAGACCACGTGAACACAGCATGCAGATCCTCACTTGTGGACTTTGGGTCTGAGTGCCCTTTCCACCTAAACCAGTAGCCCAGCACATGCCTGCTGGCTTTCCACCGTGGTTGGGGCTTCCTCCTGTGCAAGGGGCCTTCCTCAACTGCTTCTCCCTGCCTGGCAGGCTAGGTCAGCTGTCAGTCATGCGCCTGTGTTCCCCATGCCCCTCCACTTGGCAGTTCTCAGCACCTTCACAGGATCCTCTCACTTGGCTGCCTCAACCAAAATTCTGTGCATTCTTCCGAGTATGGACCAGCCCCCCTCCTACCCTGTCACTTCAGCTGTGTCCATTAATGTTCACTGTATTTCATAAAGCAGAAAAAGGCAGACTGCCTTCAGAAACCTCAGGGTGAAATATGAACAGGTGTGCATGTATGCGTACAATGACTTTTGGTACACACCTTGCGCAGGGTGAGTGCTGTAAACTAAAGGCTGGAGTGTGTCTGGGAATGGGTGCCCCTTCCAGTCTGAGGGGAAGCACCAATGTGCCTTGGAAAACTGCAGCTCTGACGATCCACGTTCTAGTTTCCGGCAATCCTTGATGGCAGCCATATTTAGTTCCCTGTTTCTGCTGTGCCCCCTGGGGCAGGGGGCAAGTGAGGCTGAGGTGAGGGGAGGAGCCCACCTGGTGGCCCTCTTCAATGCAGGCCACGCTAAGGAGCTAGAATTTCAAGCAGGGAGGGGCCATACTCAAGCTTGGAAGACTCCCTCTGGTGGCCTAAGAGGGACACCACGGCTGGCTGGATCTCTTCCTCCACCTCCTCTGAGGCCCTGGCGCCCCCAGCCTGGCCTGGGTCACAGGTTTGCTGCTCTTCCCAAATTCTGCCACCACCCTTCACACCCCTCAGCCCCCTGACCTGCCCATCTGCAGGGTCCTGCTCCTTCCACCCCAACCTGGCCCCCGCCTGGTCGCCCTGTGGGCCCTGGCGTCCTGTGAGGGCTGTTCCTCCTCCACAGTCCCCCACTCCCCCCATCTCTAAAGTCCAACTCCCCCACCCCATCCACGGCCCTCTGGGCGTTTCCCCACGGTGTCCAGCCTCCTTGCCTCACTTCCAGCTTTGCTTACCAAACGCGAATCCGGAACATCCAACACTCGAGCCTCTCCCGTCATTGCATACGTCCCCAGGCCTGCGGGGGCCCGGCCGGCCGAGGGGCCGCGTCGGCGTCCGGGAGCGCAGCCCTGGGCGCCCTCGGCACCGCACTCCCTTCCCCGCCTCACTGCCTGCCCCTGCTCTCGGGCAGAGGCGCGATGCCTGCGCCCTCGTCTGCCACTGCCCGGCCGGGGACAGTGGACCGCACGGGGTCCTCTCCTCGCACCTCCTCCGCTGATTGCCCGCCGCACCCCTCCAAAGGCCCCGCCACGAGCAGCGGCGCCCGAGCCCCCGCCCGCTCCCGCCCCGTCTCCTCCTCCCGGGAGCCACCGCACGGGCCCGAGCGCCCCCGGGCCGGGTCGTCCCCTCCAGGCCGCCGGCACGGCACCTGCAGCCCGAGGCCCGGCCCTTCGTCCCGCCGGCCGCCCTCTCCGCCGCCCCGCCGCGGGCCCGCCGGCTCCACCGACCCCGAAGCGCCGAGCCCGCTCGCGTCCGCAAGGCGCCTGCCCGCGAGCCCCGCCCCCCGGCCCAGCGGCCCCGCCATTGGCCGCGCCTGCCAGGCTCTCCGCGCGCTGATTGGCCGGCGCGCGAGTCGGTCAGGCGGGGCGCCGCGGCGGCGGCAGCGGCGGCGGCGGCGGCTGCGGCGGGAGGGGACCGGAAGGGTCGAAGCCCCGGCGCCCCCTCACACCCACTGCGGCGGCGGGCGGGGCGGCCGAGGCCGGGGCAGCGGAGCCGCGAGGGCCAGCGCGCAGCGCCGCCAGTCCGCCCGCCGCCCTCTCCCCGGCGCGGCGGCGGGAGGCGAGGTGAGCCCGCGGGCGGGCGGCTAGGCCCGGCGGGGCTGCTCGCCGGGCCCGGGGAGGGGCGGGAGGCCGCGCGGGGGGCTCCTGGCCGGGCGCTCACGCGCAACGGCAGCCCCGCCGGGATGCGCGCGAGCCCGGCGGCCGGCTCCGCGACCTTGGACCCGGGCCGCCGCCCGCGGGCCCTCGGAGGGTGGGCGCGCCTGCCCCCGCGCGGGGCGTCGTCAGGCTCCGCGGAGGAGTGTCAGCGCCGGGCAGAGCCAGCGCGCACGGGGGAGCCGGCGTTGGCGACCCCGCCGCGCTCCGCCGGTGCCTGGTCGTTGCCGTAGGCGCCTACCTCCCCACCGCTTGCCCCCGCCAGAGCCCGCTCTCCTGTCCAGTCTCCCCACCCGCCTGGCCGGCACCCCGTTTACCTCAGGACCTTTGCACTGGCGGTTTCCAGGGCGGGGAGTTGCCTCCCGGGTCTTCGCACAGCTGGCTCCCTCTGGTCCCTTCTCTGGCCAGATGTCTCCTTTTCTGTGACCACCCTCTGTGTCCCCTTCGTCTTGGCATGCCCGTTGTTTCATTTCCTCCCTGGCGCTCCCTGCGGGGTGGCACTGTTGGGTCTGCTGCGGTGGCACTGTTGGGTCTGCTGCGGTTCGTTCCCGTCGCCGCGGAGGACGCCGCTGCGCCCCTGGCCTCTGCGCGGCGTGCGCCCGTGACTCGGGGCGCCCCGCGGGGCTGGAGCGGCGGGCGCCTCGCTCGTGCGCGGACGCGTCCCCGCCGTGGCCCTTGCCCGTGGCCCCCGCTGCGGCGCCGCCCCCCGCGCGTGCGGAGCCGAACCCGGCCCGGCTGCGGGCCACCGCGGGACGCGCGGGGGCGGAGGCCCGGGCGGGATGGCGGGCGGGGGGCGCGGCCGCAGGGCCGCGGTGCAGCGCGGGGCGGGGGTGCACGGCCAGGCCTCGCCGCCGTGTGTTTGAGTCAGGCTCCAGATTTGCGTCTCTACTCCCCCGATTCCTAAATATTGGCGGCCGCTGATTAAAATTTTTAACCTGCCGTGAGCCAAGCAAAGGACAGAGCTCGTTCGGTTTGGCTGCAGGGTGGCCCCCTCCAGGCGGCTCCCCGGAGGGCAGCGCTGCGACGAGCGGGCCCGGCCGGGGGCTGGGCCGTCTGTCCCCTGCAGCCCGGCCGCGGCGGCTGGGAACGCGTTTCTGCAGGGCGCGGAGCGGGCGCCCACACTCGCAGCCGTTGGCTTCGGAGCCCGGGGCTGGGGGTGGATTTGAACCCGGGTCTCCCCAGATCGGCGTTCCTTCCTGGTCCCTCAGCTCTGAGTAGTCTCCTTTGCCTTTCTGTTTGTTCTGCAAGAACCACATCTGATCTAGATAATGCTTTCCTTCATTTAACCCCTTTTTCCCCTTAAAACGATACTGCAGGCTTAAAAATAACCCTATTTTGGTATAGTCTTCTTTGGAGACCTTTGAGATTTTCCTGAGAATTTAATTTTCAGAATACCAGGACTTTAAATAATTGGTTGACAGATTAAAATGTGTTTATTTGCCCCCCCCCCCAAATAAATGTTAGAGAGTGCACTTCACCTTGTCTATTTAAAATAAACTCTTCTTAATTTTCTGGGTAAAGAAAAGTGCCAGGTGAAGCAATTGATAGTGAGTAAAGCAGTTGTTTTTATGGTGCATAAGGTAAAACAGAAACCACATTTTTTTCTTGACACTGTTGATTCGGCAGTGGGGCAGCTATTTTTGGTCTAAGTATGTGGTTATACTTCACTGATGGTTAAGAAAGTGACATTTTTACATAATTTTCCTTAAGAATAATTAAATTTGTACTTGGCCTTTTGTGATTGTGTGAACTGGTTTCAACATTAGTCTTTATTTTAACTGTTTATTATGAGGACTTGTAAACAGATACAAAATGAACAGAATAGTATCCAGCTTCAACAGTTATCTTGTTGCATCCCCAATGTCATTCACATACACCCTCAACCCCCGTATTATTTGCAGGCAAATCCTAAATATCATGTCATTTCATCCATGAATTTTTTAGTCTATGTCTCTACAAGCTAAGGACTTTTTTTTTTTTTAAGATTTTATTTTTTTCCTTTTTCCTCCCCAAAGCCCCCCAGTACATAGTTGTATATTCTTCGTTGTGGGTCCTTCTAGTTGTGGCATGTGGGACGCTGCCTCAGCGTGGTTTGACGAGCAGTGCTATGTCCGCGCCCAGGATTCGAACCGACGAAACACTGGGCTGCCTGCAGCGGAGCGCGCGAACTTAACCGCTCGGCCACGGGGCCAGCCCCCCCAAGCTAAGGACTTTTTTAAACTTAGAAAAGCAACAATTCCTTAATATAATCAAATAACCAGTCAATATTCAAATTTCCAATTGTCCTATAAATTGTATAGTTTCTTCAATAGTTTTTTTGAATTGGAATCAGGATCCAGATAAAGTCTGTATGTTGTATTTGGTTGATAAGTCTCTTTCTTTCAATCTGTAGCTTCCTCTGTTTTTGTTTTCCTTGTAGGTTGTTTATTGAAGCAATTGGGTTGTTCTATAGCATTTCCGTAGTTGGAATTTTACTGATTGCATCTCTGCCATGTCATTTACTGTGTTTCTCTGTATTTCCTGAAAATTCATGCTTGGCTCTGGACGAGGCTTCGTCGGATCAGGTGCCTTCCTGGGTGGGTAGGTGCTTCCACACAGGCCGGTGCCCCTGACTGGCTCGTCTGTGAGGCTAGCAGCTTTTGATGCTCACTGCCTAGACCCATCGATTCATTAGGAGGCGCAGGATTTGGGAGGCAGGTTTGTGTATCTTTTGCCTAGCAGGAACTCATTTTTTAAAAAAGAACTGGGGGTCTTCTCAGATTTTGTATTGGCCTTTGAATTGCCAGTTAAAATATTTTTAATTGGTACTTCAAATCCTCTTTGGAAAATGGGGTATATAAAAATAATGAGGACAGTAGTCATTGTTTTAACATAGGAATTCCTTACAGCTAAGAAAGTTTACTAAACATTTGAAGGTGAAATTCAACAAATTTGATTTTATATAGTTCTCTTGGTTTTTTTGTTTGTTGTTTGTTTTTTTGGTCTTATAAAATATTCCAAACCATACCCCTCCCCTAGTTCATTTTATCTTAGTATCTCTCTTAAGCGAAGACTACGTACTCTAAAACATTTCAGAAATGGTAAAAATGGATTTTAAGGATAGATGGGTTACAAATGAGATAGTTCTTTTTTTTCCTTAAAAATGAGGCATTAATATTAACTTTCTTTATGTTAAATAAGTTCTTGCCTGTTCTGAAGTTGTAATTTGAAGTATTTTATAACTGAATTATTTGGCTGTTAAGAGAATGAATAAACCACCTTTTAGTTTGTCCTTACATAGACCAGGGTGTGAAAAACTTAGTGATTTGTGTAAAAAAAAACTTTTTTATCTCCCTTTCCCTACAATGATGCTAAGAGAAAAAAACAATTGAGAAAGAATGATTACTTTTTTTTTTTTTTGAGGAAGATTAGCCCTGAGCTAACATCCGCTGCCAATCCTCCTCTTTTTGCTGAGGAAGACTGGCCCTGAACTAACATCCGTGCCCACCTTCCTCTACTTTATATGTGGGACACCTACCACAGCATGGCTTTTACCAAGCGGTGCCATGTCCTCACCCGGGATCCGAACTGATGAACTCCGGGCCACAGAGAAGCGGAACATGCGGACTTAACCGCTGTGCCACCAGGCCGGCCCCAGAATGATTACTTTTGAAATAGCTCCTTTTCCTAAGAAAAGATATATACACACACATATGTACACACATATGTATATAGTTCTACAGAACTGTAGGTGATTTCTTTTGTCAGATTATTTCAATACTGTCCATCTAAGCTGCTGCTGCTACTTGTTTGACTTGAGCGTATCTAGGCAGGGGGATGCAGCCCGGGAATACCCCAGCTCCGATTCTGGAATCAAATCTGCTCTACCAGCTCGTAACTCTCAGAAACACAGCTGCTATTATGTGTTGTGAAGCAGGTGTCTTCAACAAATTTCCTGATACATCACCTGCCTACCACACCCTGGAATGAAAAATAAATTCTGTGCATTGCCTCCTGCCTGTGCATTTTCACTGAGGTGCTCACCAGTATTAGCCATGTCCTCAGCTCTTGCACTTACCAGATTTTGGTTCACATTTCAGAATGCAGGCGTTTGGGGCGCAGTAAGAATAATGGGTGTGGGAACAGCTGTCCTAATGTCAGCCAACACTGAGACTTTGCCCTGTCCTGGGCACTGTGCTAGCTGTCCTCTGAGGTTGATTTTGCACATATCGCTGTTTCACAGGTGAGTGTAATTGCTTGCCCGGGGTCACTCAGATAAGCGCCAGCTCCACTGCCCTCTGACTCTTAACCACTGCAGCACGCTGCCCCACCACATATATTCTCCCACTTAGTTTTGCCTTAACAGACATTTAGCGGGCACCCACTGTGTAATTAGTAGGAGGCTGAGAAGTGGATCAAGCACATTTTCTGCCCCTGCAGATCTCCCAGGGTAGAAATAGAGATAGACTTGCAGTGTAGTAGAAAGTGAATATAGGTTGTGCTGCCAAAAAAGGGGGCCTGCCCAGCACAGTATGAAGGGAAAGGCTGTGGAGGAAAACTTGCAGGAGAAGCAGGTGCTTGCACTAGA